TATATATATATATATATATATATATATATATATATATATATATATATATATATATATATATATATATATATATATATATATATATATATATATATCGTTTAAAATTATCAAACCTGCCTATATCAATATGAAAGGTGTCTATATCATTACTAAACGTGTCTATAAAGATACTATAATTAAGTTTTATGATCTACATAGAAAATAATTTATCTCAAGTGTTCTCAATCTTCATCTTCTTATACTATATTTAACATTCTACATCTATATGTTGTTTACTAAATATTTTTTAAAACGATCTAGTGTATACGAAACTAAAAAGTAAAACTTTTAAAACAGAGGATGTATATATGAATATCGGCAATAATCTAACACTAAAGGTCACAACTTTTTTTTTTTTGAAGACAACTAAAGTGGAAAATATAAACCATACAGCACTAAAGGTCACAACTAAAGTGAAAGATTAAAAAATGAAACAGCATAAAGAGGCTCATGTTTTGAAAATAAAAACATGAAACTAATGAAGATGGTGTCGTTTGAGTTGAAAGACTTTGTTACCTCTTGGTCGATAAGCAGCATTTCCTGACCAATGAGGGTTTTGCTCTTTGGATTCCGAGCCTCCCAATAATGAATCAGACGAAACAGGAGGTCGGCTTCGTGTGGGCCGAAAGCAACATCGCAGAAGAGCATCACCTGATCACCATGGCCGTTGGAGAGAGCGGTTGCAGCCTTTGATTTCATCGAAAGGGCGGATGAAAAAATCGGAGAAGAAGCAGGGGACTTCCCGTTTTGTTTGACAGAGGCGGAAGAGGCGGCGTTCTTCTTGTCGTTCGCCGGAGACTTCAGGGTTAGCTTTAGGTTCCATACGAATCGATTTGTGAGAGAAAATCTGTTTGAGCTTTATGAAACTTAATCGAAAAAGAAAATAGGAGCAGACATTTATAGGAAGAGGAGTGATGAGGAAGATGAAAAGAAACCATTGAATGAGAAGGGGAAAGGATTGATTAGGTGAAGTAATGATATGAAACGGAAGTGGAGAAAAGATAATCGTTGAAGTGGAAGCCGGATCGAATGATGAATCGGAGAGGAGGCTGAGATCGCAGAAATTAGAGTTCGGCTGAGAAGTCGGTTTCTACTTTCTAATAAATTACACATCGCGACAGGAAACTGGAGACAACAGGCCCAAAAGTCTTGAAATAAAGGAATCTGGAGACAAAGCCCATACCCAGCAGCATCAGGCCGATGACGTGGTGAAATAGCCAATTCTGATTGGTGGAATTTCCTATCCGAGGTGGCACCCTTTATATGCTCTTATATCGAGCTTTTAATAGAGTAAGATTTATTTCTTATGTAATAGATATTCGGATCCATGACCAACCAATAATTAATAGTTGTTTACGGCCCAACCCAAGTCCAAAAAAAATTCATGTCTAATTTTTGCTTTATAAATGGTTCGGATAGAATGTTTAATCTCGGACAAACTTTTAATTATACACTTTTACTTCTTAACTAGGATAAGATCTGCGCCTTGCGCAGGGTGAATATATGTAATTAAAATATAAAATTTTAATATTCACAAATTTAAAATTTACATATGATTGTTTTTGTATGTATTTGAAATTTTAGAATTTTGGAATTTTTATATAATTATCTATACGTATGATCAAAAACAATTTCAATTAGAAATGTAAATCAAATCTTAGAATTTAATGGATTTGATTTCATATATCTTTTTACTTTTCAGTGTTCGAGTGATGGAAAATAAATGGAGTGTCACTGGGCTTGATTGGTAGAGTATAGCAAGTTCCCTAATGTTTTTAAAGAAGCAATTGGTAAAATATTTGCAATTAAAATATATAAAGTTTCTAAACTAATTTAGTATAATTTATTTATTTGTCTAATAATATTAGAAAATTATATTTTTTAAAAATTATATTTTTAAAAATAATTTTCTAAAAAATTATGTTAAATTTAAAATTAGTTTTAAAAGCAATATTTTAAGTTTTTTGAATACAAATAAACAATTTAAAATTAATTATTGTCATGATTTAACATAGCCATAATGATTTAAAAAATTAAAAAAATTAAAAGTTAACAAATTAAAAATTAACTCAGTTTTATATCATGATTTAACAATTTAAAAATTAATTATGGTTATGAGAAGTTTACGTTCACGTGTC